TAATAAAAATTATAATAATAATTTTTTTAATAACATTTTGAATTGGCTTTTATTTTCTTTCAGTTTTCATTTAGTAGTTTAGTAGTGCTTAAGTATCTGTTTTAAAATATATATTTGTAAGTGATTTATTGAAATTTTAGATTTATTGGTTATTTTAATATTTTAACCAATACTTATTTCATTTAAAAATCCATTTGGTTTTTCATCTAATAATATTTATATTTTATTTAATTTAAGCTTTCGGTTAACAAAAAAAAGGTAGACAGAGACAACTCATGTACACAAGTGTGATCGCTCATGGTAACATTAATTTCTCACCCATTTGCTTACACTCAACTACAATCACTCACAGTAGACGGATGTACCTGCTCATTTGCATAAAATCAAACTTTGTGCATTGCTTTACTCACTTTAATATTCATTTGTAGTAGCTAAGTTTACATTATAGGGTCAACTAAAGTCTGTTTTGCACCTACAACAGTAAAATAATAGGATCAATCTGCACAAGATTGAACTTGTAGACTGCGGATTTAAAGGCCACATTTGAAGGGATTAGCCCTGATCTTATTTTACATATCAGTCCCACTATAAATAACAGACCGGGATAGACCAAATTAGATAAACGAGCGCACATGCCACTTTAGAGTTAAGAACTGCATGACTCTATGGAGGCAGGGACTGTTATAGTCGAAAAAAATGCATTAGAATAAGTGACAGAAATGCTGTTAATGGTTTAGAGCTGATACAAAGTCTAAATGGAGCTAAGGTAAGATGACTTTTACATGTGATAAAAGAAGCACTTAAGATTAAAAGTGACTGATGAACAACCTTTTTGTTCCTGAAGTAGCCCTTGCAGAGTTTGTGTGCATTAAGTGCATTTAATCGGAAGTGAGACACTGGCTGTATTATGATCACGAGCGCTCTATGCTTTTCTGTATGTAAGTCCGGATCTGGCGCCGGCTTCTCATTCAGCCGGCTGTCTCTGTCTCCACCTCCTAATCTAGTGGCCTCATGCCAATTGTGAGGACTAAGCACTGGCTTATGATTTAAAGGGATAGTTCACCCCAAAATTAACATTCTGTCATCATTTGCTCGTCCTTGTGTTGTTCCAAATCCAAACGGCTCTCTTTGTTATGTGAAACACAAAAGGAGAAGTTTTGAAGAATGCGCATGCTGCTCTTTTCCATGAAGTGAATGTGGACTGTAGCTCTCAAGCTCTGAAAAGGACAAAAAATCAGCATAAAAGCATCATAAAATTATAGTCTATACTAAATGCACTAAATATCAAGTCCTCTGAATTTATATAATAGCTTTGTGGGAGGAACACTTTTTTGTTCATGGAAAATATTGCTCAACCAACATAGTCAAGTCAAATCACCGCTTTATACAATACAGATTGTTTCAAAGCAGCGATGAACAGAAAAAAAAAAACAATGATGCAAACTGCATTAAATATGAGACATTTTAAATTCTGCTGTCATTATTCAGCTGAAACACTTTCTCAGTTCAGTTCAATGACTCTGTAAAGGCCATAATGAAATTAGTTAGCAGAAGACTATAGTGTTATTCATTTGAGTCAGTTCAATGTTAATTCAATTTAGTTCAATTCAATCTGGGTTGGGTCCAAGGCAGCTCTCCAGTAAACTGTGGTGTCATCGTCATTCAAGTTTTCTTCAAGTGTCTATCAATTATCAGATGGTCACCATTTATTGTCATTGTATTGAAAAGAGCAGCTTGGAGCAAGGTAAGCACATATGGTCATATAGTGTACCATATTGAAAGATTTTTTTGTTTTTTGACAGGTAATGTTCACAGGAGACAATATACCTGTCCATCCCATGTTTATAGCAATGGCCACATCTGCCTGTCCATCTTAACGGAGGATTGGTCACCAGCTCTTTCGGTGCAGTCTGTTTGTCTTAGCATTATTAGCATGTTGTCTAGCTGCAAAGAGAAGGTAGGTGTCTCGTGCCACAATTCAATAGTTTTCTTGATTTTTACTAGAACTGGATAAATTGAGAATCACCGTTTAAATAGAGATCACGGTTCTCCCACTATTTTGGCAAAAATGTTAATTGCTACAGTTAAAAATGTATGATCTAAATGTTATGATTGTATGACTTTTCACCTACTGTTTTATATTATTACTAAGAATTCTGACATACTTCTACTACTCAGTTCACATGCCTACCATATACTTTGGAAGCATATTCAGACACAGCGAGCGTTTTTGAACGAATCTCTTGAATGAATGTTTCAATGACAAACACATGTTTTTAACTTGTCGCCATCTACAGGTGTAATATAATTAATACAATCTTTATTTGAAGCGTCAAATTACTTTCCAAAGGTGGTTTCCTCTATTTTTATCACTAACGTAGATATCAGTGTTTATATCCGAACTATAAACCTTTATCCCAGTACTTCTGTGATCATTTAAATTACAGCGGAAGTGCCAACAGAGATTTGAGTGTTCCCTGTGATCGTACTTGTCTAATGTTTAATACACAAAGCCGAATCGTTGTCATTTAGGAATAAAATCATGTGGGTGTTAACGTTGAGATTGTGATCTTTTAGCTTTTGGTTATTGTATCTGTTTGGATTCTAAAGTTACAGTGCAGATGAATGTGTAAAATGGCACATTAATATGGAACAGATGTGTTTGTTCATAAGTTACAATAGTAAGACATTAAGCGCATCACACAGCTATATTTGGTGCCTTTCTGAATCAATGGCTTACTTATTATAAACGTGTCTTAACGCTGACTTTTTGACCGTTTATACGACCTTAGTGACAGGAATTTTTTTAGGCATTTGTAATCGGTTCAATTCGCCCACTTATTCAAACATTTTTCTTGACAAAATGTAAAAGAAACTCCAAAATGCTTAAAAGCTTCATACATTTGCATTGATTTTTGCAAACATTGTCTCTGTAAACTAGTTTCATATATGTAGTATATACACTACCATTCAAAAGGATATATATATATATATATATATATATATATATATAAGAAATTAATAATTAATACATTTATACTTTATACTGCAAGGATGCATTAAATTAATTAAAAGTAACAGTAAAGACATTTATAAAGTTACAAAAGTTTTCTATTTTAAATAAATGCTGTGCTTTTGAACTTTTTTTAATTCATTAAAGAATCATGAGAAAAATTCAGCACAACTGTTTTCTGTGGAAGCTTGTTTCCGCCACTGAATAAAAAAAATAAAAAATAATTGCGACTTTTTATCTCACAATTGCGAGATATGAAGTCAGAATTGTGAGAAATAAAGTCGCAATTGCGAGATAAAGTCGCAATTGCGTGTTATAAAGTCAGAATTGCGAGATATAAAGTCAGAATTGCGGGATACAAAGTCAGAATTGCGAGATATAAAGTCACAATTGCGTGTTATAAAGTCAGAATTGCGAGATATAAAGTCAGAATTGCGGGATACAAAGTCAGAATTGCGAGATATAAAGTCACAATTGCGTGTTATAAAGTCAGAATTGCGAGATATAAAGTCAGAATTGCGGGATACAAAGTCAGAATTGCGAGATATAAAGTCAGAATTGTGGGATACAAAGTCAGAATTGCGAGATATAAAGTCGCAATTCTGAGAAAAAAAGACAGAAGTGCGACTTTTTATCTCACAATTCTGACTTTTTTTCTCACAATTATAAGTTTACATCTCGCAATTCTGACTTTATAACACATAATGGCGAGTTTATTAGGGTTAGAGAGTTATTCAGGCCAATTCTAAGGGGGAAAAAATACTAACTTTTTTCCCCCTCAGAACAGTTCTAAATCTCACAGTTCTGACTTTATATCACGCAATTCTGACTTTCATATCACGCAATTCTTTCTGACTTAATAACACGCAATTGCGACTTTATATCACACAATTGTGACATTGTATATCGCGCAATTGACTTTATATCACGCAATTGTGACTTTATATCACACAATTGTGACATTGTATATCGCGCAATTGACTTTATATCACGCAATTGTGACTTTATATCACGCAATTTTGACTTTATATCACACAATTGTGACTTTATATCTCACAATTCTGACTTTATTTCTCTGAATTGCGAGATGTAAAGTCAGAATTCTGAGAAGAAAAAAAACTCGCAATTGTGAGAAGAAAAAAAGTCAGAATTGTGAGAGAAAAAGTCCTTTTTTATTTTTCATTCTGTGGCGGAAACAAGCTTCCATAGTTTTCAAAATTGATAATAATCAGAAATGTTTCTTAAACAACAAATCATCATATATGAATGATTTCTGGTTCACGGGACACTGAAGACCGAAGCAATAATGTTGAAAATTCAGCTTTCGGGAGTAAAAATCCATTAAAATGTAAAAGGCTATGTTAAACAAAACATCACAATATTACTGTTTTTACTGTATTTTTGATCAAATAAATGCAGCTTTAGTGAGCATAAGAGACTACTTTCAAAAACATTAAA